TTAATTAGGCCATCCATGACCTTCTCCATCTCTTTCGCTTTGCTGGAGCTATTCTTTTTGGAAGGATCTTTATTGGACGGTGATTACCTGTGTTTATTCTGTGCTCCACAAGGTCTGTGCACCCGAGGTCATGATCTCCTTTCGAAAAGACGTCTGCTTAATTCGCCAAAACTTCTCTAACCTGATGAGCTTGTGATGATGACTAATGGACTATGCTCTTCTTATAGAGGTCAGTTAAATGTTCTGGAGGTGTGTGTCCTTTCTTTATAATTGTATTTCTTGCTTTAACAATGATTGGCTCTACGTGACTACCGCTGTCGTAACAATTCTTATTAACTTTCCAAAACTGCAGTTGTCTTTGTTCTACAACATAAAAAAGGATAATTCACATTTGCAATTGCAAGATGATAATAGTTAGAAACTTTCACAAACTCTCTGCAAAACTTTTTTGTACGTACTACAAACTTCTCTCATTTTTGAAAGTAGTACGGATCATCACCTTGACTACTTATATTAATCCAACAATTAACATTTTTGAAAGTAGTACCGAGCATCACCTTCACTAATTGTATTAATCCAACAATTAACATTTTTGAAAGTAGTACGGAGCATCACCTTCACTACTTATATTAATCCAACAATTAACATTTTTGAAAGTAGTACGGAGCATCACCTTGACTACTTATATTAATTCAACGATTAATTTATCTCTCTTCCATTTCATTTAATCGTCCACTGAAACTATTTAGCCATCTTCTTATAGCACTCCTATTTATTACTGGCAAGCTCAACATACAAAGTTCACGCTGCTGACCCTACGGTTTATTTGGCACAATAAACACAAAAGTACAACTGCAATGAAACATAAACATAAATTTGAAATAAAAATATATTTATGAAACAAAATTAAAATGTTTTTATGCACATATATAAACATGAAATCCTAGTTAAAAATACTCATTTATTGTTTAGGTTTATTTACAAATATTATTTTCGGGTCTGTATATTACTTGAAACCATAAGAAGTATACATGATTATTAAAAAAATTAAAAATAGATAAAATTTGCATTTTATGGAGGATACAATTTTTTGGGTATTTCAAAATAATGTACTAAAACATTAACAGTAATAAGTTCAAATCTGTAGCAAATATGAATATCGTAATAATTTCTTATAAAAACCATTTCCTAATGTAATTTTCCAAGATATTAAAGATCATAATGCAAAAAAACTAAATTTATTAAAAGTAATAGGCTTTATGTTTCTTAAACTGCCTACATTTATCAAAGTTTTTATGAACTTTTGAACATATTCGTACACTAGTTTTATTGTTGTAATGAAATATAGCAAGACTTGCATTGCCTACTAAGAAAGTTAGTAGCCGGTAGTCATCGGGTTAAAGAAGGATGACATTACAACATTTTCTGGTGAATTTTTTTTGGAGTCTATTTCCTATTTATTTTAAAATCCTGGTTTCTGTTTACATTGATGCTCTGTTCATTTTCAGACCACTGAAAAAAGTACAAACCATCATTGAATAGTATTTTTTGACCCAGTTTTTAAAGCCCATTTTAGCTAAAAAATTAACCTTAATTGTATTGTCTTCAAAAATAGTGTGTGAAGAAATTAGTAATGCAAAATGATGCAGGTTTCCTAAGAAGCATCTTATTTATTTTTGTAGGAATTCAGTTTGTGGTTTCTTTATATGCTTTTTTTTTATTGCATTGTAATTATTATTTTTCATCTAAAGAACTTGTAATACTGATGTAAGAATCAAAAGATGGAATTGGAACAATTTCAGCTAAATTAACAGATTGCTATGTTGAAATGCAAACTGAAGTACTTGGTATGTATTTAATTTATTGTTAGTTTTGTGAGGTGTGATTTTCTACATAAAAACTCACAGTAGACTAAAAATATTTATTAACTAAAAGTAGTTGATAAAACTATTATAAATGTTACCTTAATAAAAACAAAGGTTCATTGATTGATGGTAAATTGCATCACATAAGGTAACAATAGGTGTACTTGTGTCTTTCCATACACTATCATAAATATAAAATTACAGTATCTCATACTTTCCTATGGGGAGGGGGGTTTGCATGGTTTATCTTACGTGCTACTGCTGCATTGCAAAGATTTTGTTTTTTTTCCTGTTTCAGTGGATTGATGAAAGAAGTTCAGTCCTAAAGTGTATGCAAAAAAACAGTCTTGAGTGGATTTCTTTTTGAGTCACAACTTACTTAATGAAATCAAATTAATAGATTATTGATTGTTGAAAGTTTTTAGTAACATAGTTATGAATTTCTTAAATCACCTTTGCCTTTTTTGACCAACCACATAATGACTGGTCATTTAGGTACTAACCTTCTCTGTTAAAATAACCTGTACTACCAATAATTTTCAAAGCATGTTTCAAATTAGATGTGTGTAAGAATATCAGAATTTAAGAATTTTTTTGTTTTACCCCTTTGTAAGAGCAGGAAATTATCATGTGTATTTAAGTTTGTACTGTTAACCATTTGTAGTTATGGCTTCTCTTCTTGACAAATTAGGTGACTCTGAACTGTAGGAACTAGGGCTTGTCAATTGTATAAAAATAATTTGTTGAGCTGTAAGCTATTTATACAGAAGGAAAGTTACTAAACCATTTATGTTCATAGGAGAGCTTTCAAATCACAATTATTCACTCAAAACCTTATAATGCTGATTTTAGAAAATCAAACTCAGTCTAAAGTTAGGATTTTTTTCTTTCTAACAGGACAAGAAGACCACTCCCCAAGAAACATTCACAGAAATGGTCGAGGGAAGGATTGTGAAAACTCTTCCTTGAGGGAAGAAGCAGATGAACTGGCACCTGAGAAACGAAAAACTAGAGGCAGCAGCATCCTCGGTGAGAAATATTTGAAATACTTAACAACAAATCCCTGAGTCAACCAGACCAGTTGTGTAATTTTCATAATAAATTAGGGTCCACATGAAATCTGGGAATCCAGAAAAGTGAGAATTAAATATACAGATCTGTAGGGCTTGATCCTAGGAGTCCTTTGCTGTGCTTTTTTCCACGACTAGAGTGATTGTAGTGGGTTTCTATCTCTCCAGAGTTAGCTGTCCTTCCACTTTGTCCAAGGCTTTCTGCACATCTTCTGACAATTCTGTGAATGTACCTGAGCTGTAGGTAGACATCTTTCTTTTCAGTCATTTGGCATTTTTATGAGCACCAATAAAAATTCTTCTTTGGTTTCTTTTATGGCTGACTTTCCCTGCAACTGTTATTCCATCATAATTGCATCCACATCTGCTGCACTGATATCACATAGAGCATTTTGCTAAATTACTTGCAGGTAAGTTTTGAATATGATGCTTCTGACAACTGTCCTCTGAGAAATGAGCAATCTTCACATAAAAGTTGCTGGTTTTCCTTACAATTCCTGATGGGTACTGGTTTTGCAAGAATCTTTGTAGATATTGTATTACTATAACACCATAATGACCTCAGGCAAATTTAGGGGAAAAAAAGTTTTTTCTACCAAAAAAAGAAAATCATTGTATTTCCTCCTCTCATTTTAGTTTTTGGGTTTGATGAACACTGTTGGATTCCTCATATAACAGAGTATATTTCTTAACATTTGTAATAGAGTTGAGAAATATCAGATGTGTGCCTTCCAGGGGCTTAAAACTTTATGTGGTCTAATTGACTTAGATTTATTGTTAAAGAACTTGGAATTGATATATTTAAAAAGTTTGAAACCAGTTCATCAAATGTTATTTAAATGCAATTTTAGGGGTATATTTTAGACAATAACCATTGTAAGTTTCTGTTTGTTTTTTACCAATTATTATTTTATTATATGGAAAAAAGTGTAAAAATACTTCATTTAAAAAAATATATAAATTTATTTTTAAAACAGAACAAGAATTACCACCTTTGAAAAGGAGAAGAAGCTCACGAGACAGTCACAGATAGCCCTAGACACATCAGTAGTTTTATGTAAATTACTGAGAGCTCCAGTCACTTGATATACTATGCACAGCTTCACATCCAAGGATCAAAATACTGCTGCCTTCGTGACTAAATTTGCAGCTTGGTGCTGTTCTTACCATGCGCCACATAATTTTGCATACTTGAGGAAATGTGTGTACATAAGTGTAAATATGTTAACATGTTTATCACTATGTAAAGTTAATCACTCCTCTGAAATGCATTATAGACCATTTTAGCCAATGTGAAGTCCTTTCCTGTGAGATTTGGCCAAGTGCCAAAAGAAATCTTTATTTTTGTGTTAGCATATTAATTCGTAAAGAATAGAATGGGTTAAAAATGTGTGACAGTTGTCTTCAGAAGTGTTGTGCTGGTCTAATATGTTTTTCCAGACACTGGTCTGCTCCCCTAAGAAATGTGCGCATTTATTTTTCTTTAAAACTGTCATGTCAGTTGTATATGTACAGATATGGACCAAGACACCACTATGTTAACTTTTAAATTGGTGAAAACTTGTATGATGAGATCTAAGAATGTAGTTATTAATTTTTCCAACGTTGTTATAAAATGAATTGAATTTGGCCAATGGGCAGCGTGCATAGCCTCTGAATCTTATCTGTGTGTATGTGTGTGTGTATATATATATATATATATTAAATGTATAAATACAAATGTTACTAATTTTACAGAATTACTAGTTAGCTATTAGCAGTGTTGAAGTCATTTTTTATGTCAGGTGTACTTTAACTGTATTATAAAATTTATCAGTGGTAGATAAAAAGAAATTTTAAAGACATCTGCAGATGATAATTTTTGTCTTTTTAAATTTTTTTAATTATGAGGATAAACTAATTAGTTCTTTCATATTGAAAAAAAAAGACACCATTGGTTATGTAATCTTGTGAATATATTTGTATATTTGTGATCATTGTTTGCATAATGTATTGTAACTGTACAGGAATTATGTTCTGGAATCAAGCATGCTTTTTATGGTTTATTGTAAGTTTCATGCAGATATTAAATGTCATACAAACATTGTAAGTCAGCTTGTATGAGTTTTTTTTTTTTTCTTGAAAAAGTAATGCACCTTCATAATCATGTTAGTAAACACAGATGAAAATGTGGTCATTTTACTTTAAGTTTGTGTATTTAAAAGTGCAGTACAAATGCTTCGTCTAGTGATATGTTTCCAAGCATATATATAGAAAATTATTTATGAAGTTTCCTTGTGGTGTGGGAAAAAAGAATCTGGATATTTCTGGTGTAAAATGGAAATATAAATCAAGAAAAAACATTGTATTTCACATGCTTCAGGCAAATACTTCTCAGCTTAAACAAAGCTTGTTCTGGTTGACATTAATCTTATTAGTAAAATAAATCAACACCTGGATATGTTAGATTTATAAAATGTTGAAAAATCTCTTCATATTACTAACTACATCAATATTTCCCATGTGTATACTATGAAGGTTAAAACCAAAATGTTATTTTTTATTTCATACATCACAGTAAAAGAAGGGAGAAAAATTGAAACAAAATACAAGCTGTCATATTTTAATATGATAAACAAGATTAATGACTACATACCTTTTCAGGTCTAAAAGTATGTATTCTACTCTCTGTCCAGTCAACTAGATTGAAATATAACTTCTTGTCTCATTCTTGTAGAACCTTCCTCTGCCATATACTTTGTAAGAGTACATAAAGGTAAAAGCATTTTACATTTGCACAAAGATGAATTGTAATATATAAACTATTATATTTTATTTTTGCAAGTTATTACACTTAACTGCATTAGGCTCTTTTCTACAGGTAATTGTGTGACATAAATTTTATTAGCAATTTAATTGAAGAATGCTATTTTCCAAAGGATAAAAAGTACAGAATATTATGGCTTTATTAGCTTTTGCAGGCCTCCCAGTGAACCTATTAAAGCTTATATTTTGAAAGAGGTCCTATTTATTTGTGAAAATGACCTAAAAAACTTGTGTATTTCCAATTAACTTGAACCATGTGTATGTACTTTTATGTTTTCATAAAAATATGTTAGAAAGAGGACTGGGGAAAAGGGTAAATTCTTTGCTGTAAACGATAAACAAAAACCTGATAATTTGTTCTCCAAATTAGTTCAGATTTAAAAAGTTGATTGTTCACCAAAGAAATTAGACAGAAAATCTATAAAGACACATTTTTCTAGCCGACAACCTACAAAAACCTATATTTTCATAATGCTGCCTGTCTTTTAGTTCTTTTTTCTTTTTTTTAATGGACTGGGAGGCCTGTGAAAATTATCTGATTTTTTTTTTTTCTAAATGTTCACAATTTCCAAGAAGTTTTATAAGGGAAAGCACTGTACAGAAAATCTGTATTTCTAATAAATAAAATTATTAAATGTAAAATTTGCCTGTAACTGTTTTTTATCATCACCTGGTATTAATATTTATTGAATTTTCCTAAGAAGCATGGTTAGATAAACATTTATTGGATACGTGCAAAATTATAAATATATGTATGTTGATTGATTTCTAGATTTGATTAACCCAAAGTATTAAACAAATCAACTAATAAAGTTTAACAATTACAGCATCCTATCCTCTATGTTGCTTAGAAGGTCTGACTTTCTGTTTTTTTATACAATAAATGTATACTTCAAAAGTTTGTTAACAGTTACTTGTATGAGACTTTCCTACAGCTTTTAATAGTTAGACGATATCGTTTTATAGGGCTTAAGACACAGTTTGGTAGAGCATAATCAGTATTATACCTCATGCTATATGTCTTATACACAACTAAGGAAAATAACTAAGATTTAAGTACTGTAACCTAGCCAGATTGATACTAAACAAAAGGACTCGTAAGTAGTGATTTACACTAATCGATGTAACTGAAATGATGTTGTAACACACTATGAATGGATTGTATTTTTTTATTCAATATTTCTTAATTTCAGTAAGTTATCCAAACTCCTTATTTTTTCTATTTATCCATGCTGATATCCACTAGGTTTTACTATATATATATATATATAGCAAGAACTTAATCTTGCAGTTTAATTAAAAACTACAAATCGCATTGGACAGTCCCAAACCGTAGATATAGAAGTACCAATATTTGGTAATACATTAGATTGTTTTAAAAACTGATAGATCACAATACAATGTATTAAAAGTAATCCTGCATCACTTCTAAACTCAAGAAAGCTGAATTGTATAATTGAGATGATAAAAAAACTATAGATTTTTTTTATTACTAGTGTACCTGTGACATAATAAATTATGTGCCATATCATTATAACTAGCCAAAATTAATGATTGATAAAATAATACATCAAAGTAAACTGTCTAGGCAGACCTATCAAAAATAATTAACACTCAGTATACTTTTTAGGTTTACAAGTATAATGCTGTAGATTTAGTTTAAAAGAATGGAAAGTATAAAATATATTATTTTTGCAACACTATTTACAATTCAAAGCTGAGAAAGTTATAAAAAGTTTGAATGACTATGTTTCATTAACTTATGACAATAGCATTTTTTTGATCCTGCATGCTAATCATATATCACATGGTTTGACTAACCTATATCTGGTTTAGAATGATCTTAAATTCATATGCTGATCATCAGTATAGAAAACTTGTCAAATTGAAGTATACAGTGCACTATTAAACAAAACAACTTTATCTTTTACTTAGCCTGCATGTAATAACATTTAATAAAAACTCAAATTAGCAGCTTCAACACACACACACACACACACAAAATTTCAGCAAAGTATTACACTTAAAAAAAATTAAGATAGATATACACATTTTAGAACGAAAAGGATCGAAAGATACATTTTCATCTGATCTCTTTTATCATAAATTGTTAAAATGTTTTGGCTTTTGCAGATATTATAACATGTAAATTTTTTCAGCAGCAAAAACATTTCAATATCAGGTTTTAGTTTCCGAATGAAAATTTTTTATAGAATGATTTTTCTGTTTGTAATTACAATAGCTGGGTTACTAATGCATTTGTTAAGTATGATTAATTTTTCTGATTTAGGTTTGCATACATCTACTAGATTATTTCAATAATCACATCAAACAAATTTGTTTTTATTAGTAAGTATTTATAATTAATTATTTTGCATCATTTGTATACTTCTGTTTAGCTAATATGGTTAAACTAATATATTAACATAATATTCTCCTTAGTTTTTATTGCTCCACTCTTGCATATTTTAGCATATTTTCTTTTCTGCCAGTACAACAATACTTCACATGCATGCACTAGATTTTGAATAAGCCAAGTAAATTTGTATTTGCACAAAATTCTAATGCCAAGCTACTAATAGCATCATTTGAAGATAGACTGGAATAAACACAACTAACAGTTATCATACTGTTAAGTTCATGAAACTGAAATTAATTTCTATACACAGTAGATAATGTAATTCTAATAGTTCAACTTTTTGTAGTTCATGATTGTCTTAAAATAAACTTGTTTCTAATCCACACTGAAGCGTTAAATAGCTTTCTAAGTAACTGAACTGAGATATCTTTTACGTGTAGTTCTTAGCTTATTAAATAATTTTTCTAGTGTCCTTATTTGCACCTTTTGTGAAATTCATTCACTTGATTTAACCATAATGCTTTTATCATAAGGTAAGTAAACTTCAAAGTACACACAGTGATGTACTTTAGGTCAGATGACTAAACAACTTTATACAGTGTAATTTCATGTGTGTTCTGTGTCAGTTTACATGAGTAATGTTAGTTAATCCTTCATGTTTGGAAACACAGAAAAATAAAATTGAAAAGGCATTGTGGTGGAAAATTACACACCGTAAGAAGAACAACATAATATTACTGCTACTTTAAAGCAGAAACTTATTAGCAGGATGCCTTTCTTCAGATGCACAAAAGCCACAACAAATAGAATACCTAGTTTCGTTTTGAGTTTACTTGCTGATTATAAGTTAAAACAGGTACAACGTTTGGATCCATTGTTCTCAAGTACTAGAGAATGATCGCACCAGTGATCTAAAAGTGTTGTACCTGTTTATAAAATATTCTTCCTTACTGTAAAAGCTGTAACTTGTGTTAAAATGATAAACAGAATAATTGTTGATTGCTCATGTTCCTGTTATATACCATTACGTGAAAAGCTGCTTGCCCCTGAAATGTGTTAAAACCAACATGAAATATCACCAAATCCAGCATACGTTATCAAATAACAAATGCACGCCTTAAGCATTGTCAAAGACAGTGTATCATAAATTGTAACACTGACAAATAATATATGTAACAGAAAAAAGTAATTGCAGTTGCAACATTGTAAAATCTCGACAAATGTGAGAATGGTTAACACTGATGAACCCTTCAGCCAAGAAACCTTCAAACAAAAATCTAGGAGAAACACACAGGGTGCATCATTATACACATATTCAGGCAATTCTCTGGTTGAAGGAGAACCAACAGAAGATTGTGTATGAAAGTGTTAAGTGCCAGAAACAACAGGTGAGAAAAACAAGTAACACAGTGAAACAAAAGAAAGAAAATATAAACAAAATGGAACAGCATTATTGCCCAACAAAATTAGGATACATTTCCCACACACTAGAATGGCAATGTTATATTTGATCATTTAAATTAGATAAAAAATGATAAAATATAGTTTGTATTTTTAACACCGTTAGTTTTAATGGAATACAAATGTTTTCTGAACCAGTCTTCAAATCAATGGCCAGATAGTCCTAGATAAAAGACAGGGCAACAAATACATGTATCAAAAGTGTACCCATGCTAAAGACAGTAGGTTGATGATCATATAACAATTTAGAGTGTAAACTTGTGATTAAAAATTAGGCAGTGTAATCTAGGAAAAATGTCACAATTACTGATTGCAAGAGATAACGTAAAAAGTTTAAACACTCACCTATAACAAAAACTTATTTTATTAGCTATGTTTGAGGCATATGCCCTTCATCAGGCTCGGCTGTACAAATTACAAAATTTGCAGAACATTTTGTAGCTTTTCAGTAAGAGGAATTATGATTGAATTTGCAGACCTCCCAAAATTGCTGAGAATTTTACGATCTACAAATGCCAGAATGACCTTTGATCTATTGAGGCTATTACTTGATTCTGGGGATGGAGGGTGGGTGACTAATGAACTTAACCACCTGTTCAATGATGGTTTTACCAAGTTTAAACTAAAAGCACACAGCACATCATCAAATAAGTTATATATTCCGTAAGTTTATCACTCTTGCAGAAAGCAGTTATGCTAAAAACAGATTTGCATCTTGACTCACAGAGCTATTAATAAAGTTCTCATTTCTGACCTTTTACTCATACTTATACATTCCAAAGGCAATAAATCCGTATTCCTAACAACTTTAAGCACTTGAATTTAGTCACTTGTAGTTTTTATTTGCTCTAGAGGAAATTAATTGCAATTTTTATCATCTCTTCATACAACTACTACAGTAGTCCATTTTTTGCAGCATTTCTTGGAATAGGCTTTCTTATGTTTTTCTCACAGGACCCATTCCCGATATGAATTGTTTTTGTTTTTTTTCAGTTTGTAAAGAAATACACTGCTCAGGTCAGAAACCTCAGCTAAACAACTCCACATTACATAAAGTATTACATTATGGCACAGATTTTCAGGTTATTTTCTCAGAAGATAACACAAAACCCAGCACTGAGTTGTTTCATTCAACCAAACATCTTTTAGAGTAAAATAATGAAGTACTCATAGTAGAATAACATTAAAAATAATAACATGCATTACAAATGTAATGCCAAGAATGGAGGGTGTGATATCTAATGACTTGATATGATATCTGGTGATTTGATAATATTGATAGGCCTGGTAAATTATATGAGGTAGCCAATACATGTAAAAAGAGTTATTCTATATTATTGTAGCATCATTGGTTGTTAACTTTTGTAACTGGACAGCTTTAACAATTGATATAAATGAAGTTTAGATGCGGATTTTAAAAGTGTGAATCACATAAATACTGGTTTTGGAATTGTTAACTTATAAAACCAAAATTAATGTTTATGACTATCCCTACTGAAAATGTAAGTTAAAGTACAGATTTAAAATGGTGAACTGCATGGTTTTTTTTTTTAATTATTTTGTACCTAATACTTATGGTTTAACGCCTGCTTGAAATGTACCATTAGATAATTTTGCTATCTCTATGCAAAAATTTTCATGTTTACAATCCTTTGTGGTATTATCCCATTGTGCTGGTAAGGGCTCACATGAAAGTATCTTTGTTTTCCTTTTCTTGACTAAGATGATTAAATTTGGGTAAGTATACGGAGGCTATTTTTTTTGTGTATGTGTGAGATACAAATATCTTAAAAACAAAAAATAATTACAAGATACTATCAGA